AAATCAAATTGATGAAAGTAAATTTATACTTTTATATCGAAATAATATATAAGATTAATAATTGGAGAATACGATATATAATTGGGAATTCATACAAAATAGATATATTTAATATGTATTTCAGTACTTTTTTACGTAGCTTACAGAAAATAATAAATGACATATTTAATTCATTGAAGCTTAAAATAACAATCAGAAGTCGGAAAAATTCACTTTAAAAATTTAGGTAGAAATTAAGGAATATTTGAAATTGTATAATTTTAAGGGAATATATAATATTAATTTTGCTTTAAAGAAATTCAAATCATTTGAAGTTTAAAAAGAAAAAAAAACATGAAATGCGTGATGTAAGCAATTTATATCTTTTTTTTTTTATGTGAAAGAGTTCTTTCCTGGCATTATATATATTTTTTTCAATATTTTTTTAAATAACGAATTGTCTTGTGTACAAATAATAAGAATGTATTGATTTTTGGTGATGTTATTTATTCAGTTTTTATAAAAAACGAAAGTAATAATAAATTGAATTAATATTGCAAAAGTTCACACGAAAACACTGAACGTGAATCAATTTTATTATTTAATATTTAGTGCTATAATAATATAGAAGTTAAAATGTATTTGGCTGTAAAATGTAAATGTATCTGCAAATAAAGTGAAATGAATGAGACAAAGTTTGAAGGATAAGAAAGGAAGGATGAGAAAAATTATCAAAAATTAGTATCTCTCAACTAGATCTTATTATTCAGTACCTAAATAATGGCATCATATATTATGTAATTGACTCTATTTTAATGTTGTATGTATTTACAATTAATTCAAGCACATATTAAAAAAATGGATACATAATTTTAAATGATGGTGATTTTTACCGAAGAGAATTCTTGTTGTATGTCAGATAGTTTTCAATACTCATGCACTATAAAAATTTATTAATATTATATCCTAGACTATGTAAATTTTTTTAGAGTCTACATTCTTTAATTTTAGTTTCAAATCCTTTATATGTAAAATATAATAGCATTATAAATTTTAGTGGAACTATGTTGAACTCAAACTTTATCCTTAATTTCAGTGATTTTCTTGTTACATTAAAATACTCATTTGTTTTAGTAATATTCTTTTTAACTGCTTTAGAAATATTTTTCGTGTACTCCTAAATTTGAGAAGAAGAAAAAGTGTAAAATTCTGAAAATTAACATCGTATTGCATAATTTTTAACATACAATTTATAAAAAACGTGTTTAGGAAGAATATTTCCTTATTGTCAAGACAATTTTACGACGTCGAACAAATATTTTGTTAGATTCAAGAGAAAATTTTACATTGAGGCATCGCATGAAAAGATTTTACTTTTCAAAGTAAGTGAAACTTTTTCTTTTCAATACAAAAGTGGAACGGTTGTTATACTACACGGAGAAAAAAAATTAATAAGGTGACTTACGAAAACTTTTTAACAGATGCTTTAACACGTTATTAGCACAAACAGTCAAAACAAAATTGCAAATTATGTTTATTGAAAATTAGCAAATGAAAAAAAAAATGAATCTCATTTTTAAAGAAAATTTAGTAACACTAAAAAATATTTTAAAAATACGGGTGCGAGGAAAATTATGAGGCATTTGCAATACAACGGAAAACGAAAACTACTATTTAATAGAAATTACTAAGATCTTGATGTGATTATTTAATGCCAGACAGAGATGACGTAGCCTGAAGGATCTAATGAGGAACCTCACATCAAAAGCCAGCTCATAAGATGAGGAAAACCCTCCTTTTAAGAAAAGTAGTTAGTTGGAGTTTAGACAAGCGGAAAGAATGATGCTGAAGATTGGTAGGAAGGAGAAGAGGGGATGGAATCTCTTATCCCCCTCCTCACATAGCAGTATTGCAACACTGCCCCCCCCCCTTTACTAAAATCTCCAAAAGTTGCCGGCTCCTACCCTATGATGTGCAGCAAGACACGTTCACGCTTTTCAGAACTAATCAAGTCAACCATGGCAAGAACGCACTTTGCGAGAATGCAGCAGCACGACAAATCCTCCACGATATATAAGATCGTTTGGTGCTGGGGGTGGGGTGCCATATTTTCAAGAAGAAATGGGGGATGGAAGATATCTTCAGCTTCAGTTCGTAATGAATAATGTAGAAGAACTTCGTTGCAACGGCGGCGGTACTTCAATAAGCGGCTGCTCTAAGTCGGTGAGTAAAGTTATCCACAAAAAGACCAAGACAAATTTTTGGTTGTTTGTTGTATTCTTTTTTTTTTCTGTTGTTATTGTTTTCAAATACCATCTTACTTGCTTGTAATAGACTAGACTCCCTCCGGGGTTGATAAGCAGATAAGGTTCTGAGGTTTTGGTTGGTTTTTTTGAGATGCGTGTCGAGACGAAATATGTTGTTGGGTGAGGTTTGTCACAATCTTGTGGTTATTTGAGAAGAGAGGGTTATACCAATTGGGAGCTGGAATAAGTTTGATCCAAAGGTACTGTTGCTGAAATGTATTTCTGAAATTGTATAGTCTTATAGCAGTCGTTTTAGAAGCTTTGACGTGTACTCTGTTTAATGACCTTTATTTTTGTATGGAGTAAATTAAAATAATCATGTAATGCAGAGACTTATTTTTTCCTTATTTCTATATACATGTTTTAAGTTTAAAAGCAATATAATTATACGTTTTAATTTTTCTTCTTTTTTTCACAAAGTTTGCTCAGTTGCAAAAATAAATAAATAAATAAGTAAATAAATAAATAAATAAATAATAAATAAATAAATGAAAAAAAACCTCTTGAAAATGCTTAATATTTGATTGCTAGAAGTTGGTAAAAGTTGACAAGTTGTTATTGCTTTGTTTTAAAATTAAATTATTTTTTTTATTCTAGACTTAGATAGTTAGTGATTATATGATTTAATGTATATTTTGCTTAGAGATTATTATTTTTGTTAGGAGTTAAATGAAATAATCATGTAACGGAAAAAAAAAATTTTTCTTCTTCAATTTCTATAAAAATGTAAGTTTAAAAATAATATAATTATATATTTTAATTTTTCTTCTTCCTTTTTTCTACAAAGCTCGCTTGGTTGCAAGTTAAGTAATTAAAAAATTAAAAAATAAAAAGTAAATAAGCAAATAAATAAAATAAATAATAAAATAAAAGTAATCAATAGACTAAATAAACTAATAAACTAAATAAGAAATAAACGCTTATTTATTTATTTAGTTTAACCGCTTGAAAATGGTTTTGAATGTCAATATTTGATCGATAAGAGCTGACAGGAATTTATACGATATTGCTTGGTTCTAAAATTAAATTATTGTTTTTATTGTCGATTTGGATAAACAGTCCCTTCATTAAAATATGTGTTCGAAATATGTTTTAATTGATGGTTTCCTAAATTGTCATTTGACTTTATAAGAGCTTCTTCAAAAATATTTTCAAAGAAATCTTAAGGAATGCATTAGTTTAATTTTTATTTAAAAATAAATAAATGAATAAATTTTTCTTATGAAAAATTTTTTATTTCACGTTAAGAATACCAGAATATTTTTATTTCTGTCTTAAAAATGTAGATTTATGCTTAATGAATTTATTATATGTGGTTGCACTTAAACGTTATTTGATTTCACCTGCATAAAACAGCGTTGTCTATATCATATTACAATTGTATGCTACCAAAGTACAGAACAGTCAATAATCAAGAACATTTATAACTCGAATTTTCTCTTGAAATGCGCGAACAATTTAATACGTAAAAATCACTGTTTTACACATTAGAAAAATTAGTTTTTAAATGTCAATAATCTTTATATACCATATGACTATATCTCTTTTCGTCACTAGAGAATTCATTTTTTTTCTTCTGTATATTTTTTTGCCTAGTCACAATATTTTGACAAAACAGTTGAAGAGTCAATCAGTGTTTTCTGGTGCTGAAAATGAGAAGCGATTACTTATCTATGTTTATGTCCATACTCCTTGATGGGACTTCTGAATTCTTTAAAAATTTATTATTTAATTAAATATTTATTTTATAAATGTCATGATTATCGTACCATTTTACTTCAGTAAGGCTTGTATTTAACGTGGAACTTACGAAAAAGGAATATAATTATTTAATTTAATTCCTCACCTTAATCTCGATTTAATCTAACTTTGGAAGTGGAGGGGGAAACAATTATTATTTGGTGAAAATATATTTAAAACGTTAACTGTTTAGCTTAGCAAAATTTTGTTCATTAAGTTTTTGGCTAAAACCAATTAATGTTTTAAATGTTTCTTCACTTGTATTTTTCCTTCATTACAAAAAATTTGAGATGAAATTCACTGAAATTCACTCACTCATTTGAGATGAACACTCAGGGTATCGGTAGTTTTTACTGTAAAATCAATTTTGCCGGCGAATCAATTTTATGGAACTAAAAATCTGATATACTGTAATTTTTTGGTAATAATTACAGAAAAATCATTAAATCCCTCTAATTAAATAAATATTACTGTAAAAATTGCAGTATAATATTTCCCAGTAACAATTAATTTTACGGATGATGCACCCAAAGTTTCGGTACCTTATTCAGTAATTTGATCCGGAATTTTTTAATGTAGTTTCAATAAATTGTTTTAAGTTTTGTAACGACTTTGCTGCACTTATGTCAATGTTTGAAGTGCAATTTTTCTTCACAATCACTAAGCTTTTATAAATTAAACGGTTTTCACTATTTTTTACACTTTTTCATGCGTCCAAAATTATTTTCCTTGTTGAAGCGAGACAATTGAGTGCTAAAAGATTATTGTATAATACATTAATTGCATTGTACCTAAAGAAGGATTTGATTTACTCTGTTCAGTTTGGAATATTACTAAATACGGTCTCGTTATATGTGCCTACTGCCTATTTTACATTATAAAATGCCAATGTATGCAGTTTTGAATTACAAATAATAAATTATAAATAATAAATTATAAATAATAAATTCATTAAATATATACACTGTTTTTTAGGCCACAGCGGAATCAACCAGCTGGGCGGCGTGTACGTCAACGGTCGTCCCCTGCCAGACTCCACGAGGCAGAAGATAGTGGAACTGGCGCACAGCGGGGCTCGGCCGTGCGATATCTCCCGTATCCTACAGGTGTCTAACGGCTGCGTATCTAAGATACTCGGTCGTTACTACGAGACCGGATCCATCCGTCCCAGGGCGATTGGGGGCAGTAAGCCCCGGGTCGCCACCCCTGACGTCGTTGCCAAGATCGCCCATTTCAAGAGGGAGTGCCCCTCCATCTTTGCTTGGGAAATCAGAGATAGGCTACTGTCTGAGGGTGCCTGCACTAACGATAGCGTCCCAAGTGTAAGTACATATCATTTATTTATAATTTTAATAAATAATAATATTATTAATATTTAAAATAAGATACGTGTTACAATGTCACTAGCAGCAGGTAATGTGCCCTTATTGCTCGTTAGGGCATAGGGG